GAAAAGAGAGAGGGAAACAAAAAGCCTAATGAGTCCTAGATTGTTGAAATTTGTGGAGCAAGAAGTATCTACTAAGCGTTTATAGAGCTATGTTTTTGAAAGATTTACAAAAATCTAAGTCTGGGGGAGTTAGGAGAGAACCTGAGGAAGAAGGCCAGTAATCTATGGCAAGAAGAAAGTGACTGAAAACTGTGGATACCAACAGCTTCACTCTCTCTTGCGGTTTTGCATAATATCTTGCATTCTCCAGATCTTCAGGTAACCCGTAAACACTTTAAGCCTTACCCCTAAAATAACCCTTTTTACACCTAGCCTAGATTGCCTTGCCTACTTTCTTTGATGAGAACCACCGAGATTTCTAATGAATGTTAAGAGCTAGTTGACTGGAAGTCATATCTAAGTGTGTAGATTTTTGCATGACGGATTAATGGACTAGTTTGCTTGTATTTTGGTGAGAATTTTCTAGACTGGATCCAAATAGATGTTTCACGATAAGTTATGGTTTAGAAGTACGGTCACTGAGATATTGTTTAGTTCCTGCGATTTTTTGAAATTCTTTCCTGACTTAAGTTTGTTTGAGGACAAACAAAAAGGTAAGTCTGGAGGAGTTGATAACACCGTATTTTGACCATTTTTATGGATCATAATAATGTCTTATGCAGGTGTTTTAACTCTGTTTTCAATGGTTTTTAAAGCGTTTTCAATGTTTTAGAGTTTCAAAAGACATTACAGGAAACTTGGGCAAAAGATATGCAATTTGGAACAAATGAGCAATTTTGGATAAATGCAGACCGTCAGAAGTATGACAAGCGATGAAGACCTTCTCAACGTCTGATCACCCCCAAAATTTGAGACAACATAGAGGATCCAACCAGCTTTCTAATGCACTTGGTTTGGATACAATCCAACGGTTAGAGCTTCAGATACTCCCGATGCAAGAATGACTGAAAATGCAGTTCCAGAAGAGAGCAAGTGCCGGGACTGCGGCAAACACCCATTTTCCCGCGGGTAGAGCCACCGCGACCGCAGAACTTGGTTGTTCACTTTCCCGACGACTTAATTAAAGCTCTGATCAATTCCCTTCGTTATTTTTGAAGCCCTAAGTGTCCAGAACCACCCCAGAAGCTATAAATACCCCCTTTAGGTCATTTCTAAAGGTGTGGAGACGACATAAGATAGAAAGAGAGAGAGATTTCGTGTGAGTGCTTCACAAACCCTAGGTGGCCGCCGCCTTTGAAGGAGGAGCCGTCGAGGAGAGCATCATCGCGCCTCCATCTGCGATTCCGTTCTTCGTTTTTCTTCCCTCTTTTCTTTAGTTTCCTGCACTTTCAATTTCGTTTATGATGCTTTGTTACAATATGTTTGAGTAGTTACCCAGTTGGGTTTAAAGGGATTGTTCAAAGGGAATTTCATGTGTCTTTGCTTATGAATCGATAGATTTAGGATTTATAATCTTCTAGATGTTCTTCGTTTGCCTTTAATCTTAATGTGTGATTCTTTGCTGGCCACTTAGAAGCCGATCTGATATGATATGTTGCGAAAGCTTTCATTGATTGTCTGAACTAGGGTGAAACGAGCAATTCTTTTATAAGAGTGGAAACCTACCTGTAGTTGAGTTGTGAATATTGATGAGTCTTGTCCTGCTATTGCATCTTCTCCCTTCCAGAATCAGAGTGGAAACCTACTGATTAGGGTTGCGAGAGATAGTTGTTTAGTGCTGCGAAATTAGGCTATTCATAGTTCCGTGCCTCGAGTTCTATAACATACGTATTTGATTACCTTTATCATATATTTAAAAATCGACATAGCTTAGTCCATGAACCCCTGCGAAACCCCTTGAGCCCCAACGTCTGTCTTTTATTGCTTACAACCTTCAATTTCATCTGCTTTTTAATCGCTATTTATCTGCTTTTCATTCGCTTTTACTTGCTCCAATTCGCCTCTTGTTTAAATCGCTTACTACTTGCTTTTGTTTGCTTTCGTTTTTGTCAATTGCTTTTACTTTCTTTGCTTTCTAGTTTAGATTTAGTGACAACCAAAAACCCAAAACCAAAACCAAAACCTTTTAGTTATAATCTGATTTAAGCGTTGCAGTGAATTCGTACTGAAACAACTAAGTTTCTGTGGATCGATACCCTAAGTACTACAGCGCACATCTGTGCACTTGCAGACATTTAGGGGTTATAAATTTAAAACCTGAAGTTTAGTAAAACGAAAACAACAAACTCCGTTTACAACTCGCATCAGCCAACATCCTGACTTTCCACAGAGAGAAATCACCAGTTCCATCAAACCTGTCTATTTCGACCCGATCGTTGGTCATCTTAACCGTCGCCTTGTAACCTCTAACTTGAACCTTCACAGCAACTTTACACCAAACCCGGCGCTCTGATACCACTTGTAAAGGAAATAAGTGTGTAAAGCTTGCAAGTAAAGAAAAGACACAAGATTTGTTAACCGAGTTCCCGGCCTCAAACCGGTACGTCTCGGGGGAGATCTCTTGCTCCCAAAGCTTCACTATCTCAAAGAGGTTACACACACCACTAACAAGTGATGTTAACTCTGGTTTTACAGGTACACACACTTCCCAAACAACAAGGATCAAAGACACAACAAAGAAAGAACAAGAAACCCCTTGAGACCCTTGATTTCTTTGTTTTTCTAGAACTCTCTCTTGTTGTATGTCCCTTCATCTTCTTCTTCCCTTGATCCTTTATAAGAAGCAATACAGGTGATAATAAATGGGCCAAAGAACCATTCCCAAGCCTTGTTCTCTCATCACCATGTCCATTTTCGTCTGGCCCATTAAAGGCCCACCTGTGTGTTTTGTCAAACCAACATCAGCCCAACAACAGCGATGAGTTATTTTGTCTCGGCTTTTACAGTTTTTTGCTGTTTCTTGAGATTTTGAAGGCATTAAAAGTTTTCGATTGGACTTACTCAGGTTACCAGTGTCGTGCTTTCCTGTTGCCTTCTCATAACTTAGCCATAGTCTCTGTTCTATCTTAGCTTTGCAGAGTTTGTAGATTTGTTGACGAGTAAGTGTCTTGGCCTTATCTTCTTGAGTTCTTGTGTTTCCTTTAAAGAAGATTTCATTAAATCTGGTTATCTTCTTCTTATTTGTGCCTGAACATTTGTCTTCAGTGTGATATTTGTGTTACTGAAACTGAGTTTAAACCTTGTTTACATGTCTCTTCTTCTCAGATATTCAATCAGTATAGTTATTGCTGTCTCATATGAAGCAAGTGTTTCCCAGATTACGTTTGATCTGTAATGACATAAAAAGTTTTCAGTTTTATTACAGAAGAAAAATTGTGATTTGGGATACTAATGTTGAGGGCTTTTTAAAAAAGTTATGTCAAATGTTGCTCAGAGCAGAATACTAAAGTGGATCAGTGAAGCAGATTTTAAGAGTGTAGTTAAACTTTTCTTTATCCGTTGCAGTAACCAAGCTGCTGCATTTTTGTTAGAGATGGTTGTTATGATGCAATACTAGTGTTGCAACAATTTTGTCTTTAATGTGTTTGGTTCTAGTTAGCGATTGCTCTTGATGTTGCTTGGCTTTCTGGTTCCTGTACTCTGTTATTGCTACTTGGATCTTATTTGTTTTTACTGGAACAGGTTATAAAAAGAGTATTACAAAGATGTCGTCTGGGAACAAAATGTGTACATGACCAAGTTGGCCGAGTAGGCTGAGCGTTATGAAGACTTATGAGGACATGGTTGAATTCATGGAGAAAGTTGCAAAGACCGCCAATACCGCGGGGCTTACTGTTGAAGAGAGGAACCACTTGTCTGTTTCCTACAAGATTGTGATTGGGGCTAGGAGGGCTTCGTGGACGATCATCTCCTCGATAGTAGGAAGAAAGCAGAGGCAAGAACGATCACGTTTCGATTCTCAAGGACTACAGAGGCAAGATTGAAACTGAGTTCAACAAGAGTTACGACTGCATTTTGAACCTTCTCGACTCTCACCTCGTTCCTACTGCATCTAAAGGCTTAAAGACAATGGTGGTGTTAAGATTGTAATGATATAAAATGATTTCTTTGTAATTACCCAATTCACAATGGACTATATATACAAAAAATTTGTCTCTGTAATTAAAATAAATTAAAAAAAAAAGAAATAGAAGAAGAATTAATTCTTGAAAATTTGATTTAGGGTTTAGGGCATTAGAGTAGAGTTTATTGTTTTGAATATATATTTTTTAAAAATCACCCAATTAACAAAGGAATATACAATAAATTAGTGGATCTTTAATCTGTAAATAATTTTTTTCAAAAATATATAATAATATTCGAATTAAGTCTTACATATTTGATTTAGGGTTTAGGGTAATCGAGAGTAGAGTTTATTGTGTGAAATATATTTTTTTGTAATTATTCAATTAAAAATGGAATATACAATAAACTTTTATCTTAATATGTATAAAATAAATTTTAAAGATAAAACTTAAAAAAGAATTATGTGTTGATATTTGATTTAGGATTTAGGGTATTGGAGTTTAGGGTCTGGGGGTTTAGGGTTTAGATTATGTTGATTTAGGGTTTAGATTATCTTAATTTGTGGTTTAGGTTATGTTGTTAATTAACAAATGAAAATGTTTGGCAATGATTGAAATGATTACAAAAATGATTACAAACATATATACAAACTTTACAAACTAATGATAAATTACTAAGTTCATTATTGATAGTTTAGTGTCACACAATATTTACTATATAGTTTGTGTTTTAATTTTTTTTCAGTAAACTCCAAAATTACATATTATTATGAAAGTAAATAATATATCATAAACTCAGTCATATAAAATACTTTCGAAATTAAACTATAATTAAAACATATTAAAATTGTTTTATTTAGGGTAAAGATATAAACATTTAGAAAATAAGAGCCTATGGAAAGATATCACTTGAATCGCTGACGTGTCACGATATTAAACTGTTGGATCATACTTTTCTCGATCTTTCCACAGCTTTGGTTTAACTCCGTTGGATTACGCTTCCTCCTCTTCTCTTCGTCGTCTCAATTCTCTCCTCTCGAGCCTCCTTTAACGACGAAGACATCAAAGCAAAGCTTCCTCGACTCATTTTCTCGGCGGAGGAATGAGATCAGATCTGGCCGGCCTGCTCTAAACTGCTATCATATTCTCGCCGTAGCCTTTTGGGTTTCTAAAGGAGCAGTAGAGGACGATGTAGGATCTAATATCTCTGGTTAATAGGACTTGAAGATCTTGCACGTCGTTGGTGGTTAGGTTTGAATCTCGATTCTCCCTTCAAATCTGCTAGTATGTGCCCTTGTATATGCTTCAAGATGCATCTCATGATTCGTTACATTCTTTCATTTTCTTAACCACTCTGAATAGATATTGAAAGTGATTTTTTAAATTTATTTAGTATCCTTGTTGTGTTAGCAGAGAGCTCAGCGAAGTATTCAGTTCTGGAGAGCATCGTCGTAAAAGACTTTTTACCCCATGGATCTGGTAAAAAGTCTACACTTAATCAAATTCAGTTATGAGATAACAAATTGTTGGTACTTATTCGTGTATTGACATTGAAATGTTTGTTTGTTGCAGGAAGAAGCTAGGTATGTTGATAATATTGAAGAATAAGTTTCAAAGATTGGAGATAAGAGTGTAGAGAATTCGCAAGATTAATTACAAGACTACCGGCTTTTGTATCATACAAAGTATGAACTTATCTTTATTTTTACTTGGTAATATATAGGTCGTTTGTATCTGTTTCATACAAATATAATAAAAAAAATCTGATGTTTTTCATTTTAATATGACAAAATAGCCATAATAGCAAAAAATCACAATTAATCGAATTTATTTGTATATAATTTACTGGGACTATTTTTATGAGTCAATTACACACTGCAGAATGATATCCATAAAAATACAAATGCTATAAAAAATAAGAATTTGTGGACAAAAATATATATATATATATCATAACATATTTCGAATGCTATAGAAAATTTTAAAACATGATATATATAATATAACTAATAGCAAAAATTAATTACTATTATAAAATTTATAATTACATACAAAAAGCGCTATATTAAATAAAGACACGATAACAATGAAAAAACCGCTATCAAAAGTCACAGAGCTATTATCGCAAATTGCGGGCTATGTCAGAGCGCTTTTCTAAACGTTATTGTATCGTTAAATAGCGTTTTTTGGATGCTAAAAATATCCGTTTTTGATTGGTTATTTGAGAGCATTGTAATTTTTTTGATTATGAGGATGACACTATATATATTTTTTTATTTTTATAACCATTGAATTAACATCGTATGTTAACATCAATTTAACAACAAAATTAAATTTACCATTGAATTAACAACGAAAGAAGAAACTAATACACCAAAAAATTAAACGTGTTTCATCTAACTCATATTTTATCATAAAATCGTAGTTATTTAATGACGAATTCGTCGACTATTTAACGACGATTTAATGTCTGATTTTAAATCGTCGTAGTTAAACTATTGGTTTCTTGTAGTGTTACTTATAGCTTGTTAACAAATTGTTTCTTATACATTTTTCTCTTAACTAGACAATATCTTCTCAATATTTACGTAGATATATTTTAGCATTGAATGCACCCATCTTCATTGTCAATACCTTCACCATCACTTCACTCGAGTAGGGGCATTGAAACTCAAGCAAACATGCTACATATTATTTTAGACAATCTACAGCCCAAATTTTAAATAAAGAGATGAAATAGAAAAAGTTCGAAGCCTCTGAATTATCGTGTTTCTGTTTTACAGCTCCACGACCCAGATCTTGGTTGACAAGATTCAACACTAACAGATATCCTCAACCACTTTCTTCCATAAAATTCCATCCTTTTTTGCGCATAGACTTCATAAAATTTGTGAAAATTTGTCTTCAGAGGTTCTAACTTGCAACACATTATTTTTCTATGTATGGAATTAGGCACACATGGAGGTAGACTTAGCTCCTAATAGTTGACAATTCTATCCCTTTGTCTTTACTAGTATTAGTTACCTCTTGTAGATGCAAACACCTACAGTCGTTTTTCTCTTGAATAAACAGTTACCATCTTAATGGATTATAGTATTGACAGTAGAATACGTAAAATATAAGTTTTATTTGAGTCATGATATACCGATATAAGATATATATATATATATGTAATATAGAAATATGAAACTTTTATGAATTAGTTGGGGATATGGAAGTTCGATCATATAGATTTACTGGGTGAAAGACTGCTTCTTTTTGCTTTTTGGTACAAATGGTGAAAGACTGCTTTTAACCACTTGTTCCACCACTAGAAATAATGAACATACCAATTCCTCCTGCGTATCAACCAGAGTAGAGCACTTACTTAAAGGGAGAGTATTTCATTAGAGAATCATGCAAGCCTAAACCCTAAAACCAAAATAGATGAAATAAATTAACATGGTAGAGGTTTAAGAGTTTTGGACTCTGATGGTTTGCTGAAGCTATTGCATTGGATGTGCTAGCTAGTGGAGAAATCCAGAACTAGAGTGCAAGCAGTGAGTCTCCGGTTCAATTACAACTCTCTAACAACTTGTATTAATTACCTCTTTTAAACACACAAGAACAGCTGTTTTTCCTTACATAAACCGTTACCATATTCTTGATTATTTTAATATATGTATTATTTGACCAGAGAGCACTAATATAAATTAAAGTGAGAGTTCCCTCCTCCCTCAGAACACTAAAACTAACATACTCAAAATATCTGAAAGAGAAAAATAAACCAACATGGTAGAGGTTCCTGAGTTATGGACTGTGATAATTTCACTCATAGTGGTGAAACTTTGTCATTGGATTTATCAGTGGAGAAATCCAAAGTGTAGTGGAAAACTTCCTCCAGGGTCGATGGGTTTTCCAATCATTGGAGATACTTTCTAGTTCATGAAGCTTCATGATGCCTTTCAGTTGCCAGCATTCTTGACGAAGAAAATCCTTAGGTTACTTAATTTAGTGAATATTCTTCAGACTAGCCTTTAAGGTTAATGTATTGACAAACTTAGCCTAACATATTCATCAGCTTACTAGACTAACCTTAAAAAGTTGGTGTTATACAATTTTGTACAAATAATCAATATTATTACCAGATTGCCATTCTATTTAATAAAAAACTTCAAATTATATACACAATAACATTTTCATATTAAATCATATACATACGTATATACACGTATATACACATACATTTCCCTAATTCTAAAAATAGAAATTACAAAACAAAAAAACTCAAAACCCTAATTCCGGCGGCGACGATATAGGCAATTCGGCGACTAGAGAGGCGATTCAGGGTTTTCGGAGACGAAGGAGGCGATTTCGGCGGCGATGAAATTTTTCGGCCACTCATCTGGTAAGTGTTTCACATCTGGGTTCATTCTCGTCTCGAACAAGTTTTTGTCTTGGGTTTTCGGGGTTATGTCGAAAACTGTTTTCGCCTTTAGTTGCGACGGTTGTGTTTGGGTTTCAACGGTGGTTTCGCGCTAACGGCGGAAACGGCGGAAGAGAAATCCATCTGTTCACATGATTTTACTCAGAAATCGTAACCCTTTTCTTATTTTTTTCAGGGAAGTATTATTATCGGCGGTTTCCGTCTTTCGAGAACGGTTTCCAGAGACCCTACACGATTTCCGGCGAGTAATTTCTGTTCGTAGTGGTTCGGTTCTAATTTTTTTGGTAGACTTTTCAATATTGTTTCATTTGGTCGATATGGTAAACGGTAGATTTGTTCGTGTTTAACGGAGTTGTTTTCTATGTGAGGTAGATTTGTTTTCGTTTCATTGTCTTGTTTGAATAATAAAAGTATTGTTGGTAGAGTTATTGTTGAGATTGTATTGGTAGATTTATGTATTGTTGGTTGATTTATACCATGTGTGGTAGATTTGTGGTCGTATTTGGTAGAGTTATATGTTATAGTTGCTCCCGGGTTTGGTAGATTTTATATTATAGTTGCTTTCGAGTTTGGTAGACATGTTCATGGTAGATTTGTTTTCATATGTGGTGCGTAATTTGTGTTTGTAATGGTTGGGTTAAAATTTGCGTTTGGTAGACTTATGTATTCTATATTTGCGTTCTCGCTTTGTATGTGGTAGATTTGTGTACGTTTTGGTAGATTTGTAAATGTTTTGTGCTAGGTATTCTATAGTTGCTGTCGAGTTTGGTAGATATGTGTTTGTTCACGGTAGATTTGTTTTGATGTGTGGTAGATTTGTAAGATTCTAATGTTTTTATTTGTTTGCAGACATGGCTTCAGGTAGCGGCTCAAAGGATTATCCCCAAAGATTGTACCCGGAAGGCAAATCTCCTTTGCTGAAGAAGAGTTGTCATCATAACTGCAAGCTTCATGAGTTCATCATGATGATCAGGGATCACCTTGGGGAAGAAATTTACAACGACATCATGAATAATTCTCAAGTTGGCGTGCTACTGAAGCTTGCATTGACTTTGTTCATATGGAGTGCTAAGACGGTTCAGTATTTCGTGAGCAACCAACTGAAGGTGGATAGGAATCATGAGTTCTGGACTCTTATTGGAGGTCGCCCGGTTAGATTTTCACTCTTCGAGTATGCTGAAATCACGGGGCTAAACTGTGACCCAATTGATCCCAATGACAAGTTGGAAATAGATCACACCAAATTTTGGGCTGAGATTGGAGTGAGAGGTGGGGAAGGCCCTAATTGGAATGAGTTAGAAGCTCGGATGAAAACTTGCCAAGCATGGACTTATGAGAAGAAGAAGATGTTGGCGTTGCTTTTCATTTTGCATGTTGGCGTATTGGGACTTCACCGCAACAGTCGAATCCCGTTGGCTTTAGCCAAAACAGTTATGGATGAAGCAGCTTTTGAGAGACAGACGTGGGGTCGTTATGGATTCCATGAACTAATTAATTCCATCAAGATTGCTAATTTGGGGGGAGCACGATACACTCTCCACGGATGTGTACAGGCAATGCTTGTTTGGGGTTATGAGTGCATCCATATATTGGCTGAGAGAGCAGGGAAAGTACGCCCCGATGTAGATGACTCGGTTGTTCCTCTTCTTAGGTGGACTTCATCACGGTGTCGTTATGTTTTCGAGACTCTTTTGGAGATGGATAAGAGTGAAACCGAGGACCACAAGGTACTTGTACCTTAGCAGCTAGTTGGTAGAGTTTAGTGATAATAGCTTAGTGTTTGGTAGAGTTTAGTGATAATAGCTTAGTGTTTGGTAGAGTTTAGTGATAATAGCTTAGTGTTTGGTAGAGTTATTTATTATACAACAATTTGTGGTAGAGTTATTAAATGTGTTAGAATTTTACATTTGGTAGAGTTTTTACATTTTGGTAGAGTTTTTACATTTTAGTAGAGTTTTTACATTTTGGTAGAGTTTTTACATTTTTGGTAGAGTTTTTACATTTTGGTAGAATTTTTACATTTTGGTAGAGTTTTTACATTTTGGTAGATTTTTTGTTCAGTTTGGTAGATTTATTAATATCATGGTAGATTTATTAATATCATTTTCTATGGCATGGCAGGTTCAGGTTAGAAATCTAATGGTGGTGAAGCCCTTGGAGGAAGTATATCCTGTCTGGGAAGGTGAACCCCGACGTGTAGACGTCGATATAAAGGTGCATAACATGATATGCGATATTCTGGATGGAAGCTTGGATGAGGGGTTCTGGGAATCTCCCAAAAACGTAGGTGGCGATGCAACAGTTCAGACGCCGAAACAGTCGAAGAGGAAGTTGGAAACTCCACGCGT